TTTCTCTTTTTTTTTTTTTTTTTTTTTTTTTTTTTTTATCGTCATACATATTTTTGCAAAATTTTCACCTAATAAGGACATTTGCATCAAGGAGTCTAGGGTGATCAACTTATGACTCGTATTCTTGTAGGAGGCGACGTCCAAATAATTTTGTGACATTCGGATCTTTTATAGTGTCAACCAATTGTGTTATAATGGCAAGGACATTGTTGCTCTTATGGATACTTGTTATTAATAAATCCTTCATCTTTTTATCAACTTCACTAGTGGTGTTCTGGAACCCATGCAAGCAAGTATCTTGGTACGTAATTGCATCACTAAGCCAAACTTTCAAATTCATAAGGATTTTTTTGAGATTTATTAGGTCAAACTCATTTATTTCATCAAGTGACCTTGTTAACTCCCCAATCGAAAGATCCATGAGTTGCTTGCATGTGTCGAGTGCTATCTTGGCTCTAGGTTCCTCCTCAACCTCATGCAAAAGGCTAATTTCTTTGAGTTTATCACTAATTTTTGTAATGGTAATGTTGAAGACAATCTTGACAAGTTCTTCTAGGTCCGTGGTGTTTTCGACTTTTGCTATGAAACAACCCTCACATTCTTTCTTATAATTTGTAGGGTGATAAAGAGTTTGAACGAATTTTCCAGTAGGAACAATGGTGATGTTCTTTTTGTTGTCCTGTGTATCATCATTTGAATTATCCTCATCGACGTTAAAACCAGCTGTCATGGCTATGATCATAGCCACCAACAATAAGATTGAGACAACAATGATAGTAATTCTCTTTGCTTTCTCCGCAATTTCATCAGACATTTTAACTAGTTCCTATCATAAATGAATAATATTGTATAATTAATGAATGTCACAAAATAAAAATAACCATAATATTCCTTTACACTAATTAGGCATAGGCAAAATAAAAATGAGATGATACTTATTTTTTTCTCGTTTCATCTCTACAAATTTGAAATTTGATCTTATACCATCAATTCATCATTTAATTAACTGTACCTTATTATGCAAGTAATCATTTTCGGATAGCAATCATTTTGAGGTAACATGTAACATGGTATTGCTAGCTAGATGTGCATATAACATCATTAAGTAATTATATAGAAACTATTCTATCATAAGTCATAAATCCTAAATAAAATCATGGTTTTTTTCTTCAAACATCAAAATCAAATAGTCATATTTACATAAAGTAAAAATATATTGTATTCTTCGTGAACTTACTAGGCAAAACAAGGTGGTTCGCAGAGAGAAGTGAAGGGAAATGGACTTTCTAAGGCAATAGCTATTCTTTATCAAAGTTCTTCGAAGAATGTGTTTATGTAACTTTGGTGGTAAATAGTTATTTATATACACAAAATAATTGTAAGCTGAATCATTTCAAATGCAATAGGTGTTTTGCTAAAACGCCAGACAATTATTTTTTCTAAAAAAAGAGAAATGAAGTGTAAAGGCCACATTAGCCTTTCTTCTGACTTGTTTCTAACATATATTATATTATGCTAACCCAACAAGTTCTAATCTTATTTTACATTCTGCCTGGAATGAAGACGATATGAGGTAAGGTTTGTGGTTGGTATTAATTAATGTACGCACACGTCTCAAACGTTGGCTACAAACTGAAAACTTTATTTCTATCACTTGTACACGTACAATACACAAGAAGAAAATTGATCAAACAATATCTAATTTTGATGTTTATCTTTTTCATATGCATGCATTTCAAAAATGCCACCCCAAAATTTCTAAGGGACAACTTTTATGGTGAATATTTCGTTATACACAAACATTTCCTAAAACAAGTTTTTTTAAAATATTTTTTTAAAGCTTTCTAAAAAAGTTCACCCAAGCTTCATAAATATGTAACTATATATTTAAACAATATCTAATTTTGATGTTTATCTTTTTCATATGCATGCATTTCAAAAATGCCACCCCAAAATTTCTAAGGGACAACTTTTATGGTGAATATTTCGTTATACACAAACATTTCCTAAAACAAGTTTTTTTAAAATATTTTTTTAAAGCTTTCTAAAAAAGTTCACCCAAGCTTCATAAATATGTAACTATATATTTAGAATTAAATAATATAAGAGATGATTATATTTAGCAATATTACGTACTAGAAAATTGTAAATATATATATATATATAAGACGCAAGAGATTAACTTGATATTTTCAAATTGATTCTCACAATAATAAATATCTGATCAATAAAAGTCATGTGAATGCAAATTAATCTCTGAAATAATGGATTTGGAGTTTAATTAGAACTTTTTTCTAAAATATATTATTATCACTCATTGAATTATTTGTACGCTAATCAATTTTTTTTCTTACCATTTTTGAACTTTTGCACTTAAAGTTTTTAATATTTTGGGATTGAGAAAAAAATTCTAATATATAAAAATAGAACAAATTAGCTTGGTTGGTTAGAAGAATTAGTTAACTTTGGGACTGCAACTAAAACCAAATTAGCCTATAATAATGGGTCAAGTAGTCAGGTTTATTGAGAAAATTAATTTTTTTTTAAAAATTATACAGTAAAAAATATTTATTATTTATCTTTTGAAATTTATATGTATATGTGTGCCAATATTTATACCTATATATAAAAATGGTTTTCTATTTTGTACACAATTTTTAAGATTATTTTAATAATTAATTATCTTCATAAATTCAAGACTTGAATCCAAAACTTTGAAGTTTGAAAATTAGACACAACACTAATTGATTCAATAAATATTAATAATTTTAAAATACCTTCAAATAAATATAGAAGTATAAAATGTCTTAATCCCAATAATAAATTATACTTGAGTTAATCCATTTTGGTAAAGTTAAAGATAACAAGCCTAATTATCCATCTGAACTTACAAGGTTTTGCATTTTCACGGTTTTATTCGAAAACTCAAAGCAACTCTTTCATGTAATCAAACGTCGAGTTGGTCAGTATGCTGGCTTGACCCAACAACACCCTTAAAGGCACTGAAGACCAACTATTTGTGCTAGAAAAATTGGAAGTTCAGAACAACTAATGTATTGGTGTATTTTTTTAATATATCAGTGTACATTTGATATAATAAAATCTTACATTTCTTTATTATTTAAAATTATTTTTTTAAGAATTTTTTCATTGGTGTAAAAGAAATGTTTTCATTGAAAAATTTTATCTAAGATTCTTTTGGATGAAATGATGTTAGATTTTGCATAGACACCACACATATTGAGATTATTGAAATATTATCATTATAGGTATTTATTATTTTGTCTATTAGTTATTATATTTAAGAGATATCACATTTTCTATATTAAGAAAATATCATATCTTCTATATTAAGAAATAAAAGTTGTCACATATTATCATTATAGTTATTTATTATTTTGCCCGTTAGTCATTATATTTAGGTAAGAGATATCATATCTTCTATATTATTAGAAGAGTGTCATATCTCAATATATATTTGTAACGGTGACTTGTGATATGTATTTATATTGCTGGTCTGATGAATAAATGACAATAAATTTTCTTGCCGTAAATCTTATTAGGACTGTTGATGGATGCTGATGATTGATGAATTACATTACATGGCTTGGAGCTTTAGTAATTCAATTTTTCAAAATTAGATTGCCTATATTATATACACAAGGATAAAACATGAAAATGGAAGGAACATCAAATTCTTATTATAAAAGCCTGCACTTTGCACAATTTGTAATTTACATGACGAGCGTGCATGAACACACTCTCCCCCCTCCCCATTTATAATTTTGAGATAAATAATGCTGTCATTAAAAAATGTATCTAGCTGCAAAAAGTATGTAATAATCCTACTTTTGCTTTGCACGAGCTTTATCACCTAACTTGAAAATCCGTGATCGTCTCGAATATTCTTGGATCTTTCGATCACGCTCTTTGAGCATATGATCCATATTGTTTGATGAAACCAGTAATGGACCAGAGAGGTGGATGTTGTTTCCTATGGACCCATGTACTTCCTGAAATAGGGACACAAAAAGCAAAAACTCAAGACAAATAACAAATGCATACAAATTTACCATAGTGTGGCAAACTAGGGACACCAAGCAAGATTTTGTCATTGTTGATGGCTAACAAAGCCATTCACTAATAAATATTGACCTATGAAACACTGATACTTCCATTTGTTTCACGTAATCAATACCAATATTTTTGAATACCTCGCCGATTTATATGGATAAAGTATCTAAATCTTTAAAAATATTACCAAAATCTTATTTAATCTGAATACTTTTAGATACTTCACTTACTTATTAATCGGTATCAGTAAAATATCCAAATCTTTAAATAACTATGAAGTATTCATCAGATCATTACAATTAAATAAGACATGTAAACATGTTTAATATAGAAATATTGTCCCTTGTTAATCTAAAAGTAGAAATTGACAAAACTAACCCGAAGTGATGTTTCAGTTGAGACTTTCTCGTTTTCGATTTGCCTGAGATCAGTTCTATCGCGCCTTCTTCTTGACTCTGATACATTAGATGACTGCAAGGATTTTTGTACTTGAATTGTTTCTTGGTACTTAAAGGGAATTGGGTTTTCTTTTTTATCTTCATGCGAGGAAGTCCTAAATGCCACTAACCCGGATAATTTTGGTAGGCTGATTTTGTTTGAAATAGAAGGCTGCTCACCAACTTCTTTTCTAGCCATTTCCAAGCCATAACCTGGAATCAATGGACCTGAATGCAAAGGCCTACGATAAAGAGGCCCAGAGAAATAATTTACCCTTTCTGTATGCTCTTCTGACTGTTTGTGCGGAAAAACCAAATGTCCAGACACGGGTTCTTGGTGAGGGTTGAAGAATTCATTCCGGCTCCTTGAGTTTGGATGGTGTTTCCCTTGCTGCATCAAATAAAATTATATTATACTGAGATGAAAAAAAAGACAATGCAGGGTAGTAGAAAAGGAAAAATGGGAAAACGTAGGTGCATTTTTGGCCTATTCAATGGCCCAAATCAATAAGGATTTTCAATAAGTTACAATCACTTCTTATGATTAGAGTAAAGAAGTAGTTAAACTAATGAAACTTTCGAATCTTGATTTTTCCATGAAATTGTCATCCTATGAAGGAGGGTGATCCTTAGTACAACAGTAAGGTTGTTGTGTTGTGATTTGGAGGTCATGGATTCAAATCCTGAAAATTGCCTCTTTGCTTATAAGGTAAGGCAACATAAATCTACTCTTCCCCAGATACGACTAATTAGTTAGTTAGGATAGCTGATTGTAGAAAAAAGGCTTGTTGTCTATAAATAAGAAAGGGGTGGGGTGGAGAGAGATGCCTTATCAAAATTTGAGATAATTAGGACCTTTAGGCATTGAGAGGTGCAAACCCTTGAAGTTCTGCAAGATAGGGACTTTTGATGAATGCTAGTGGTTAATAAGGAGTGGTTCCAGACTCCTTGAAACATCTGGAGCAATGTATTGCTTTCTAGGGGGCTTTTCCCTATATTTCAGTCAATAAAATTGACCCTTTTCTTTTATGTTTTTGCCTTTTTGGTGCCATTTCTAACAAAATTTAATTACAGTTTCTTTGTTTTACTATTGTCCCCTATGCCTCATTTTTAAATATAATAATAAAGAAGGCCCATTTGACTCGAAAATCAGTTGAACATGGCCTCTAGTGGTTTGTGTTCTAAAATCGTCATATTATAATTAGCTGGAGCTAGGTCATCCTCAAAGCACTAAAAAGCAAAAATTAAATTGTTACAAAAATTAACAAACTAATCTACAAATCAAATTCAAAAGAATGCAAATGTTCCAGATTTCTCCTCTTCTTTTCTCCCAATTTCATGACCACTGGATGTACAGTGTTTGGAATAACACTAAACCTAAAGGTATCCAACAGATGCAAGTCATATAATTTGGTTTCAATTAAGAAGATGAATAAAAAGAAACTGTGATTTTAATCATGCTTACCTGCATTGATATGCGAGAGTGAGCATTGTCTTTGGATAATATAAATGTTTGAGGTTCTTTCTCTTGTCGAACTCCTGGTCTAACTTTGTGCTCCTTTCCCGCATTAGGTCCATGCCTATGATGATAAACAAAAATCTATGCTTGTTAACAATAGTCTTAGGTAACAAGTAAGGCTCCATCCATCACAAATGGATAAATCAAGTGAAGCAGAAAGCAAATTCAACATCAATCATGAAACATTTATTTAAAGTAGAATTCATGCAAAGATTTAGAAATCAAATATATGCATATTTCTTGTGTCATGTACAACAGTGATCAATGATGTTGCTTGCTTTTATTCATGTCAAAGATTTCAACATTCAAATTAACAACCAATATAAAATCAATTTAATTACCTAGGAAAAGTTCAAACCATGTCACATAATATTAGTTATTGAACATAATACTACTCAAACATTTTTTCCTTTTTATATAAAAAAAAAACTCATCCCGCCGCAGTTACCTTGTTGCTTCTTCCCGCAATCTAATGTCAATCTCTTTGCTAGGAGGATATTTTGGCAAACTTGATGGATCACAAGCAAGGGGTTCCGATGAAAAGAACTGCCATTGGAGGGGGAAAATATCAAAATGGAGAATCAAGGGCCCTAGAAGGTTAGAAAGGAAACGAGTTCCTTCAATATGTTGTAAAACAGAATTGCAAGAGAATTTTGATTATTATTTTCTACTTAATAAGGTACATAAAGGCAGAAAACTGCAAAAAAGTGTTTCATGACAACATGCATACACATTAAGCTGAAAAAATGGTACTCAAATCTCACACAGCGAGTTGAAGTACATTACATAAGGATGAAGTCCAATATCAACCATATTACATAAGTACTCCACTTGTTGTAAACATTAAACCACTCACCTCACTCTTTAGGGCTGTAGCTGCTGTTCCTCGGAGTGTGGGATCTAAAGAAAGCAGGGTTTCTATAAGCCTTGTGGCAGTAGATGGATATTCTTTAAATATTTCAGCAACACAACGCCTATAATGGTGGGGAGGCTTGAATACTGTTGAATGTGGCGACCGCAGCTTACGCCAATAGTCCTCAGATGGTGAGCCACAAAGTTTAAAAATCCTATGCAATTGCTCAACCTTCAATGTACATAAGTTAAACTTCACATACCTAGCTCTATTACTGTACAATATCAATTTGAGAATTTTGACAACCAGTCTAAGTTGGAACATATCAATGAAGTTGAAATTGTGCATATCAGTGAAGAGACCATTTGGAAAATCCAAGTAGTGGCGAATCTTGCCAAAACATTTTGATGGGAGAAAAATATTTAAATACGTATACTTAAAAATTATTTACAGTATAATATATAAAAATAATAATAATTTTTTAGAAAGAAAAAAAAAATTGGGGGGCCATTGCTGCCGGCCCTTGCTCCCATGAAGCTTCGTAACTGAATCCAAGTGAAAGTAATAGTGAGTAAATGATGAAAATTATATTATGAAGCAGCATACCTCTGTTTTTCCAGGCAGTATAGGCCTGCCACAATATAGTTCCCCCAGTATGCAACCAGTGCTCCACAAATCTACAGAAACTCCATAATTAGATGCTCCAAGTAAAAGTTCTGGTGGTCTATACCACAGTGTTACTACACGGCTGGTCAATGGAACATTATGATGGGGGTCAATAAAATTTGCCAGACCAAAATCTGCAATCTTTAAGATGCCATTATCGTCAATGAGAAGATTTGAGCCCTTTATGTCACGGTGGAGGACACCACGACTATGACAATGATCTAATCCACTAAGAAGTTGCTGCATGTAGCATTTAACCTGATATATAAGAAACATCACTTAGAATTTTAGACATCAGAGAATAGTTGACAACAAGAACAACTATTTCAAAAAGAATTCAAATAACTAGTAAGGAGAAACGCATCCAGCCATTAAATTTGACATCAGTATGCATAAGTGTCAATGACCAATTATCTAAAAAGCTTGAGCTAATTAGGCAAAGACTCATTATTGGTTTTATTATGGACATTGCACAGGCCCAATTTTACCGTGTGTGGAAATTTAATTTTTCAGTTTAGAAGAATCTTGGCAGTCAAAGATCAAATTCCTGGCAACTTTGTTCAAAAAGCTTTGATACCATATCAATAACCAATTATCCCTTAAGCTCAATTTGTTATGTGAAGGCCAATGAATGGTTTATTACGTTTTAACTAGAAAAATCTTGACTCCATGTAAAACAGAAGACTGCAAAAATAAAAATATATCATCACTACCTGTGGTTCAGAAAACTTCGTACTGGATGCAAGTCCCGTAAGATCATGTTCCATGTATTCAAAAATAAGGTACAAGTTGCGAGATGTCCATGATGTTATCAAGCCTTCCAACTTTATTACATTTGGATGGTCAAGCCTACGCAGAACAAGGATTTCCCTTGCCATAAACTTGACGCTCTCAGCATCAAAATTATCAAAGCGCACCCTCTTCAATGCTACAATCTTTTGGTGAGTCACATCACGTGCCTTATACACAGTACTGTAGGTTCCTTGACCAATCTGCATGGTAGAATGCCATCACACGGCTCATTTAGAAAGTGAGAGAGAGAGAGAGAGAAAGGACAATCACTAACGTTAAGAATAAAAGAAATAAAATTCCAATATTCAGAAGAAAAAAAAAAGTTTATACTCATCAAAAAAGACAAAATTAAACACCCAAACTCACATTCTCTCTCTATTTTAAACAAAAACTAAAATGAAAAATAATATTGTCATGAACTCGGGCATCACACAAAAAACTGCAAAATGATTTGTCATAGAATGCAGTCACTTAATTGCTAGATTCTATAATCTAATATTATTGAGATCTTTCCTTTTGCTATTATTAGAAAAAAGGGGCAAAAGGTGGATAGAAGCTACACTATACTCATTTATTCTTCAAACACAAAACAACCACATGATTCCTGCTCAAACATCCTCATGTTAACAAAATTTATCATATTCCCTTCTATCCACACTGCATACACCAGCGAAAACATGATTTTCTTAGACATGGCAATGTTTAAAAACCTTTCTCAAGTGCATTCACGTGATGGCAATAACAATTAGTTAACTATATATGCGACAACCGAACAATAATGGAATCATATACTAAGCAGCCAAGGTGGTAACTTACTTTATGAAACCTCTCAAAAGAATTCGCACTCCGTGGTATCCACCCTTGGATAGCTTCACCAGCAACAGAAGAAAGCCAAGTTGGCCACCCTGCTGCAACTTGCTCTCCTTCTAAACCCTTTGGAACCCTTCCAAGACCAGGATGATCAATAACAGCCAATTCAGGCCTCTCCCCATTCTGATCACCACAAAACCGAATGGAACCATTGGATTTCTTGTCAATCAATGAAACTTTCATATCAGCACCATCCAAAACCTCATCTTTTCTCCAAACTCCATCGACCCTTTTCTTGGAATTCAATGCAGAAGCCTTCATCTCTGAGACCCTTTTGCTAGATGAAGCCAATTCCCTTGTCACACCTTCCCTACTGTCATCCACAGCTGCACTCTTGGAAATTCCGCACCCCATGTTGCAGAACAAAGCTATATTATTATTATTATTCAACTATCCGATATTATTATCCTTCAATAACAAACCACGATTACTAATTCACTATATCCTCCAACCACAACTCCATCATGCAAGTCACCAACTAATATTCATGTACCAATCTTTTGTCTTCTGCCAATAACAAACCTGGGAATTTCCTCTCCTTAAAAATAAACTATAAACCCATGCTACTTCTGCCTCTTTGAAAACTTCAAACTTGCCCAATTATAAAGTCAGATATTCCAATCAAAGACGCAATTCAAAACCTTCCACTAACTAACGTTTAAAAAAGAGGGCGATGATCTAACACTGAAGAGAAAAAATGATAAAAAAAAAAATATGGGAAATGAAAAATATATATAGAGTTGAGTGGATCTTTTGAAAAGGGTAAGAGTTGAATGGTTGATGATAAGCTTAACAAGGAAGAACGTGTTGGGTGTTGGGTGTTGGGTAAGGATGAAAATTGAATTCAACGCGTATTCATGAATTAAAGAGAATTACACCACGGCTTTTGCCGACTAAGCTCAGTCAAAAGACCCTTCTCTCTGTCTTAGCAGCAAGAGTCTGCCATTAACGAGACAGAACCAACATTTTTTCTCCACTTTCACGAATTAGTTTTATGATTTTTAATCTATTGATCAATTAAAATTATTAAATACATTATTAATGGCATAATTAAATATATTTTTAGTATTTAATTTTTTTTCCAACTTTTACTTTTTAATTTCTGAATAATTGTTTTTTAGTTCTTAAAAACCTTTTTTCTAAAAAAAAAGAATTTGAAGCCAAACACTAAAATGTTGATGGATGGAAAAATTCATAGAACAAAAGTGAGAACAAGTAAGAATTTAGAGACTAAAACTAATAAAAATTAAAATTTGTTCAGGATTAAAAGCATAAATTTATAAAATTTAAATATTAATACACGTTACAAATTTTACACCCACAACTAATAAAACTTGTGTATAAATAAGATTTATAAGGTAATTATTATTAAAATTAGCAAATTTGTTTTATATGTTAATTTCTAACATAGTTGAATACTTGGAACATAGTTTTGTTGACTATGCTAGTTTTCATTGAGTTGGATAGAAACTACTTGTTATCTATAAAAAGAATCTAATTTCATATCTTAGAAGGAAATCTTAATTTTTCTAAATAAAAACTAATAAAGTATTTAATATATGGAAATACGTAAATTCGCTCATAACCTTTTTCCATGATTTTATCTATATAAGGAAAGTAAATCAAAATTTCAACTTATTTGAATAAACAAACAATAGGTAATTTACCGATTTAATACCTTACAAGGCATTAAAGTGTTAACCGTGATTTTTTTTTTTTTTTTGCTTTTACCTTTATCGTTATTTATATTTTAATTTGTACATAAATATTTATTTTTGTTTCCTTATAGAACTTAGGTTAAGTTGATCTAAAGTTTTAAAGTGAGGTTATGGGTAAAAACTTGATTTTCTATTCTTAGTTTCAGTCTTATATACTTAATTATCTTATATTTTTTTTTATAATTATTTATTATAATATAAATTATCTTATTTATCTTTTAATATGTTTAGATTGATATTCTTAATGGTAAGTATATTAATTTGTAGTCTTCTGGGTCAAGTCTATTAGCTTGAAAAGATGTAGATTTATTGTGAGTCGATAGTTATTAAGATGATCAGCTTCAAGTTGGTCAATCATGGGACTAGGAAGCAGGTTGACTATAGGTCTAGGAGGTAAGTCAACAATAGGCCTAGGGTACAATTTCCCTTATCTAGTGTATTACCTGTGGTATTGTAACTAGCAAGACACATCAATCAATTACCCTCTAGTTATGAGATTGCTTAGCAACTAAGTAACTTAAAAGGGTCGATTAACCTTGACCTATAAGGGTACAACTCCCTAATCTTAAGTCTTAAAGAGGAAGAGACTAATTGAATCGTAAATCAAATCCAGTTTACAAGACTTGGTCATCATTTGTTAAATACTTGGCTGATCAACTTAGAACAACATATCAATCGGCCTTAGGCCTATAAAAGTACACAATCCCCTAGTCTCTAGTCTAAAAGGATGGAGAGACTAATTATACACTTGATTGGTGTCCACCTTATCTAATGGTCGATCGAATGTTTACGTTTCCAGAAGGATACACAACCCCCTGGTATCGAGTCTAAATGGACGAAGAGACTAATTTGATTGATTCCCAGATCAAGTCTGAGTAAACAATCAAGCTCGATCGCTTATAACCCTAGCACGCTTGGACTTGGATGTTGAAATGATGTCTCTTCATCATGACCTCTAACTCATGGCTCAAGGAATGACACTTGTTTTCTATGACGCTTCGAGAATTGATGTGTGAGGCAACCCACATTTAATGTAACTCAATGACAAGGATCGATAAATGAAGAGACATGATCCAACACTCCTCATTCACTACTTTGATCGAATGCCCCTCAACCCACGTCGCTTGGCATTTCAACCCTTCTTCCTTTTCCTATTAATAGAAGATGCCTCTGCTTGAGTTTTCTTACCAATATTGAAAAAGAGAAACTTTGGTTGTAGCTACAATAACATGATGACAATATGCGAATAATTACGGTGGTGTGTGGTGGTGAACAACGCGACAAGCGTAAGAGTGTTTAAAGACTTTATTGCAGGTATGCCTTTTTCCCTTAGCCATCATTCACTATTTTTTCTTTAGGGGAGGGGTTGCACAAGTAAATATTGAAAGGGTTGAACTACAAATAATTAATGGTGTACATGGACCTATACTTATGGGTGAAGGGTGACATTCTCCGCTCAAAATATAGCTACTCGGACTAGAACTCAGTGGAACGCTTCGCTTGGAAAATATAGTCACTCAAGATAGGGTTAAGGAGAATATCATAATTGAATCCTACACCATTGACAAATAGATATGCATAGCTTGGTTGTTTGACAAGGATAATTTCACCTTTTTCTAAGAAACCTTTGACACCAAGTTACAAATTCACATCCTATTAATTCAACTACAAAAGTGGGTGCTTAAGACTTTGAACTTGGCCCCTCACAATTGCATCCAAACAATTGTGCTGGTGTTTGATCGTTTGAGATTTTGTGTGGGGCTTTAGATATACCTCCCTTACTAGATATATTCCTTTATTTCTTTTAGAGGAAGGTGGTGAAAAAGGCAATCTAGGTGTCTATTAATGGTATGAATGGTGACCCGTTGATAAGTCTATTTCAATCCTCGTACAAAAACTTCAAAACCAAATATTTTTTAGTTCAAGTGCTTACACATAATTGGTTAGCATTTGAGGGTTTTCCCCTATATTGGACTTCGAACCCATCCATCTAAGGAGGCTTGGAATTAGAAACTCTCTCAGAAGATGACCAATCTCATATTGAGAAGATAATGCATATGATGGTATATGGTAATGGGAAATTACTAAAATTGGAGTATAGGGAAGTAGAGTTGTGTAAATACATAGGTACAAACTTACCTAGTCTTATTGTTAATTGCGATTTTTCTATTTTTAACTTTATTATTCCCCTTTTGCAGTGCACATGGCGACCTCAAGAATGGAAATGGCTTGAATACTGAGGGAAAAGAAGGTTGTTAATCGTACAACTAACGGAAAGAAAGTTATAGGTCTCGCTTCTACTACCATTGCTATAGGTTATCCTAATATTAAGAAAGCTCGGTTAGAAATTGGGGAGCATGTGGTCGTCAACCTTTCGGACAAGCATCAAGTTGTAGGTAACAACCAAGTTCAGTCAAAGGAGACCATCGAAGAGTCCACCCCAACACTGGTTGGCAGATGGTTGCTTTCTCACCCTACTCTTGTTAAAGGTGTATATTCCCAATGGAACGACAACTTCCCTTATATGCTGACTGTTAGTTGTCATTTTTACTTGAATTTCATGAATATTATTGTGTAAAACTTGGCATGCTTTCATTTTCCCCCTTATAAATTGCCCAAGGATGTGAATATTTTATATAAATATGTAAATTATGTTATAGAAGTCCAATCCAATCAAATTATAGTAATTTTTTAGTTAATTATGGTGGTTTTGCTTTGTAGGTTAAGAGAAGAGAAATCAAGACAGAGAAAAGAAATGATGTTCAAAAAGATTCATGGAAGAAAATATGTTTAATTATCTCTATTAACTCAACAAGGCTTAAGCTATATCAGAAAAGCTTAAGCCATTTTAGAGAAGTTTAATATTTCAATCTGCCAAAAAAGGCCTTAAGCAATTTTAGAAAGGCTTAAGCCATTTCAATTTCTTCAGGGTGAAGTATTTAAAAAAGGCTTAAGCCATTTCATTAAGGCTTAAGCCATTTTAATTTCTTCATGGCGAAGTATTTATAAAAGGGCTTGAGCCATTCAGAAATAGCTTAAGCCAACTTATGGCAGTAAATAACCCTTTGTTTTAAATCATAACATAAAAAAGGGGAAAGAAAGGAAGACATGGTAGCTTTGGAGAAAATGCCACACCTCAACCATCTCTCTCTCTAGCCTTGAAGATCATCTAAGTTGAAGATTTTGGTGGTGATTCCGACGTTTCGGGAATGGAACGACGACAATTTCTACTAGATTCTTCTTCTTCTCTTCTTTTGTTGGTTGGCTCTCACGGAAATGAGTAGCTAATCTTTTCTTTTTGGGATTGGATGTAACCTCTTGCAGCTTAATGTAGCTCTTGATTTTCACATATATGTTATGATCACTTCTACTTATTAGTGATTCATTTTTGTTCTTAATACCTTTACGTTTTGATCACTCGTATTTGGAGCTTTGATTTAGAACTCGATTGGAAAATGTTTTCTAGATCATGATTAAAATGAATCACCTAATGGTTTAAGTTGCTAGGAATAGAGCTAAAATCATTAGTCTTTAGAGGATTTTCTTAATGTAGGTTTTCCTTTATTTAAATATGCAAGGAATTGATATTTAAAGGGGAAAACTTAGAATCTCTTTACTAAGGAATTAGTATTGAGTGATTGTAATCCTAGATAATATTGTAGGAGAGGAATTGACATATGTATGCTTATTAAGATTACAAAGAGGTGTAGTTGGTGAAATCCAGTCCCAAGCATCTCATATCTAAATTTCTCTAATACTTATTTGAATTTGAATATTTGTAAATTGTTTTAAGTTTTATTAATTTTAAATTGGAGTTTAATGAATCAGATGTTGAACATGTGTGAATATATTATATGTATTTACTTTTTGCTTTTCTAAATTAATTGAGAATCAATCAATCTACCTAGTCCCTGAGGAGATGACCTTACTCATCACTGTTACAAGTTGACTTTGGTACACTTGCCACGGGATCAACAAGTTTCAAGATATTATTATTTATTTCTCCCCCACACAACCTTGAGAAGGTGCAGGAAGTTGTGATTGCAAGTATTTTTAAAGAAATGGAATGCTTAGCCACCCATATGGATTTTTTGTCATGGGTTACTTAAGCGAAGGGGTGAGCATCTAAACTGAGAGGAAGACTTTTGAGGAGTCAAGTCATCCCACTAATGAAGAGAAAACCCATTTGGAGACTGAGCTTTTAGAAGCCAAAGCTTTGGTGGTTAAGGAAGGAAAGCAAGCTAATGCCTTAAGGATTATTGTTGCTTACCAAGAAAAAGAAATTATGGCCTTTAAGGCTTGACTTATAGATAGTGAAGATCTCCTAAAGGAAGCCAAGTCATAAATTATTGATAAATTTGTGGAAGGATTCAACGAAACTTGGAGTAGGTGTTGTTCTTTCATCCCGAGATTGACTTGTCACAAATGGACTATTTCAAGGAAGTGGTTGATGATGCTTTGGTTAATCCCCCCTAGGATGTTGATGAATGAGTTTTGTTGCCTCTAGGCTTGGTTTTATTTTTCAACTTGTTGGGAAAAAACTTAATGTAATGGTCAGTCATATTTTGTAATGTAATCCTTTAGTTTTTGCAATTAATTTTTAATATATTTTTTAATTGAATTCTTTTGATTTGCCCATTATAACTCTCATCTTATGGTGAGCTATCTTGACAAATCAAAATAAAATTTTACAAATTATGCAACAATCTTAGAGTAATCATCCTATAGTCGAACTAACTGTAGACACCTAATTTTGTCTGGACTTGCAAACAAAGAAATGAACTTCTATTATAAAGAAAATGAGCTTCCAAAAGCATAGAAACCACATGATAAGACATCAAAAGGCCCAAAGCCCAATAAGGGTGGTTTAGTCATCCGGAATGGGTCGTTTTCAATCTGGAACGGGTTGTTCCAAACTATTAAAAGGCCTAAAAACCCTAGTTGGGAACGGGCTAGAACGGGTCGTTCCAACACAGGTTGTACGTTATGAATTAAATTCAAATCTAGAACAGGCCGTTCTGACACTAGAACGGACCGTTCCAGATTCAAATCTAACTCATAACGAATTAATCTAGAATGGGTCGTTCTGAAACCGAAATGGGTCGCTCTGGTCAGTTTTGACGTCTATAAATAGTATACTCGGACACTGCTCCTGGGGTCGGAAAAATTCGTCTAAAAAGTCTAATACAGCTCGAAATTTCTCTCTCTTCCCTTCCTGTATTTCTTGAGATTTTGTGAGTTACATTGTAGTGTGTTAGGTAGCCAAAAAGCACCTAAGAGTCTCCATACTTGAAGACCTAATAAAGTTCGATCAAGAGGTATTTCAGTTAACATTTCCCTCTCCCTCAATTTCCTCATTTTAATCGATATTGTTTCAAATAATAAAAGAATAATCATGTAGATGTTTTAGGGCAAATCGGGTAATTTAAATTTTATGTATATAAATAATCATCAATAAAGGAGATCTAATATTTAAACTGTTAATTCTTATTATGGTAGCTCCATCATAGGGTATCAATTTAGGGCGTTGTAGGGGTGTTTAATACCTTCTCTACGCGTAATCGACCCCGAACCCAATTTTGGTTATGAAGGCCATTATTGAATTTTTTTAAAACCTTTTTTTTCCAATGTTTTGAGTAAAACATTGGTGGTGATTCCTACGAACCATTTTTCAAACTATTAATTAAGGATTAGTTTGATTTTCAGGCATTCCCTAATTGATGAGATTTTCAAAAAGGTAGTCCAAACCATTGGTCGTAAGATAAAAAATTTTCAAGTTACGACACTAACTTGATGAATAAAATTTAATAAAATTTTACATTATGTAATAATCTTGGAGTAATCATCTCACGATTGAGCTAACTTAATAAATCAATTTTAATAAAATTTTACAAATTATGTAACTTATCTCAGAATAATCATCTCACAACAAAGTTAACTTGACAAATCAAATTTAATAAAATTTTACAAGTTATGCAATTTATCTTAAAGATTAGTTTCTTTGAGTTCATCACTAATTTTTGTATTGGTGGTGTTGAAGGCAATTTTGATAAGCTCTTTTACGTCCTTGGTGTTTTCAACCCTTACTATTTTCTCACATTCTTTCTTATAATTAGTAGGGTAACAAAGGGTTTGGACGAATTTCACAGTAGAAACAATGTTGTCCTTCTTGGTATCTTCTATATCATTATTTGAATCACTCTCATCGCGATTAAAACCAAATGTCATAGCCACGATCATGGCCACCAATATTAAGATTGAGACAACAATGATAGCGATTCTCTTTCCTTTCTCTTCAATTCCCTCAGACATTTTGAGTATCTTCTATAATAAATGAATAATAATGTAAACTTAGTGAATGTAACAAAATAAAAATATCCACGATATTTATTTTCTTTTATTAAATAAAAATATGTGTTAAATTCTAAACATAGTCTTTGCATCATTCATGTCACATTAGTAACCATTTTGAGGTGACATCTAATGTGATATAACTAGATGCATGTCACCATTAAGTAATTATATAGGGACTATTTAAAAGAAATAAAATCTATCAAGAACAAAATAAGCATAATTTTTATGATTGGAGTATATTAAAGTCATATTTAGTGTAAAAAATTTAAAAAGGCACATATATTCTATATTAATATATAAAAGAGATATCTTTTTTAATAACTACTTTGATCTCTATATTTGGTATACTATTATGTCTTTTTATTATTTAAAACAATTAAAAAAAATATTTCTATCAAACTTAAACTTGAATTCAAAACGTTGAGATTTGAACCAATTGTAACACTAATTAAATTAAATGTTTTTATTATTTAATTTTTATTTTTATTTCATTTTTAACAGAGATATCAAGTGTCTCAATTTTAATAGTTTAAATAAAATACATATATATATATATATAACAATGTTTATGGAAATTAAGGCAAGTTAACCATATATATATATTATTCTTGTAACCGAATTTTGTATTGTTTTCTGCACTTACGGTGAATACAAAGAGCTTTGAAGGGCAATGAGATCGTGAAGGCGACGACTAAACTTCTTGTGCTTTGAAGAATGCGTCTCTGCAGCTTGACATGCAAAGTAGGCAATTATTTATATCCACAAAACAATGGTATTTAACACCTCATTAAGTTGAATCATTCAAATAATTAGTGTTTTGTTAAAACGCTAGATAATTGTCTTTCCCAAAATTAGAGAGAAAGAGGGGATGAAACATGGATGTCACACGATGTATATAGCCAACTTTTTTTACTTGTTTCTAACATATTTTATGCTAATTAACCCAACATGTTCTACTCTTTATTTTTACATTATTTTACCAGCAATGAACACGATGTGAAGCAAGTTCCACCGTTGGTATTAATTTATGCACCCGTCTCCTTTTTTACATTTTACATTTCTCTTACTTTCTTTTATTGTTACACGTTCTCTACGAGGATATGATCAAATAAATAGTTTTTTATTTGAATATCAAATAATTGAGATCATAAATCTTGTATCATGGCTCACGGAATCTTGCATCATGTAAATCTTTTTGTTGAGGAAATCTGAATCTCATTTTAATTTCTATGTGGTTCAATTTCCTTTTATTTTTCTAAATTTTATTTCCTTTTTTAGATTAATTGGCTACTTAGGGGTTGATTTTAAACTTACATGCACAAATGTAAAATTGGTTTTTAGAGCAAGCGTATCTTAAGAATATTTTTTTTGGTTCTTAAGTGAACCCTACATATACAAATGGCTCATTTTTATTTTTTCAATATAAGCAACTTTGTAAGCATCCAAATCTTTTAATTTAGTACCTCTAATGATAATAAATAAATAAATTAGTACCTCTATACGAGTTGCTAAATGGGTCTCACAAACGATTTCATATCTTTATATTTTATCAACATTTTATTTTTAAGTTATAATTATACTAATTATAAAGAGTTAATCACCTTTACACTGCCAGTGTAAAAACTTTACACTAGCAGTCAATCAGAACTGTTAATAGTGCATTTTTTATTTTAATTTAATTAAATGAGCAGATGAAAAGACATTATTAACGGCTCTGATTGACTGTCATAAAAAAAATTTACACTGACAGTGTATAGGTGATTAACTCAATTATAAAATAATGAAATTATAAAAAAAATTATTTGAACTAATTTTTGTAAAATGATTTTTACTAAATTAATGTCATTTGAAAAATGAAGCCAATTTTCATGAATTAGATTTCATTATTTAAAATGATGAAAAATAACTAAAAACAAGTAAATTAATGTATCTTGTTGCAGGCTAGAATTTAACAAGTTGATTATTATGAATTTAAAATAACCATTAAATAATACAAATTACATAATTAAAACAACATTCATTTTTAGTTATTATCGCTTCCAAAAGGTTTTCAAATGTGATTCAAATACTTGAAGTTAATGATGAATTTGTCTATCAAAAATAAATGTTCTCGATCGATTAGGTATGTTGAGAGATTTGGGTTAAGATCATTATGTGTGTCAATTATTAAGGTGATCATGAGAATAATTAAAATGATTGTTGTGTGTGTCATTCGTCTCCCACAATCATTTTATTCGATATAATGGATGTATATAATATATTCCTAATTGTATTCATGTGTCAAGCACATATACAAGTTCACTTATAATTGCAAATCGAGATTAAAACATTTAAAATATTCACTCCATATTATTTCTTGTTGCTTCTTGATGTTGGACAAATAACTTTCTTTATCTCCTTCATGGCATTAAATATTTTCTTGACAAATGTAGTCCATTTTAGATAAATATCATTTAGTAGATAGTACTCCATGTTATATTGAGTTCTATTAGCCATAAATTGCATCTTAGGGGTTTGTTCCTCTAAAACTCCATTAAACACTAGAGATTGATTTAAGACAATAATGTCATTATTTGAACCTACAATTTCAAAAAAATGCATGTTAAATCCGTAAGTTTTATGATGGCACCACTTTGATCATTATTGTAGGTTTCACATGATCACTATGACAAAATTAACCTTTCCATGTCACTAGACAATTCTTCCATTCTTAATACATACATCCATGCTACTTAACATACTTAGAAAATCATATGCCTACCCTATTTGTGGTAGGCGTTCAATATCATCTTCAATATCTTTGATAAACTCTTACTCAAACATTTTTTCATAATTTGAATCATTGTGATCCATTTGAATGATACGTGAATAGTTACTAATAGAATTTGATTAAAATAAATGAGAGATACAAGATAACACAATTGAAAAATTTGAAATTCCATTTTGAATTATAAGAAAATATAGGCTAAATTACTTTTTTTATCTCTCATTTTATTTAATTTAGCTTCTTTATTATTAACAAAATTGTTTTAGTCCCTTAATTATTAAAAACGATGCAATATAGTTCTTTATGTCCCTTAATTAGTAACTTAATTTTTTATGCATAGGTCAAAATAAACAAAAAAAGATAAACTTATATAGGTGAAAAAAAATTATGTGTAATTGATATTGTTATTTAATTAGAGATGAATTATACAAATACAAAAATATCAACTTTGTTTAAAAAAATAACACAAATCACAATGAATTATACCTAAATTTTGTCCTTAAGAAAAACACATACCACACACATGTAAAAAAAAAAAAAAAATTGACACTGCTAATCTCAATTGGAAATATAAATCCGTCGAAAATTTCTGACAGAAACTTTTCGATGGAAAAATAAATCCGTCGGAAATTTCTGCCGGAAAATTTCCGACGGAATATTCCGTCAGAAATTTCCAACGGAATTATTCCATTAAAAACGTCAGAGTTAATATTTACAATAGAACTGCGGTTATGTTAATAATCCTGTCACCATGTGCATGGAAGAAATAAGTAAAAAATAAAACATACCTTGTAGAAGATAGCATCAGCTGCAAAAAAAAAGTAAAAGAAGAAAAGCAAAATATAGGCTCATTAGATTTGAAAAAGTAATCAAAATCGGGGAAATAAAACACCAAGAAAATTGAGGCACAAGTTTCAAAAGATTTTTTTTCTTTTTCATGTAGAATAGCAGTGCAAATATTCCACTTGAAAAACCCAAGATCTCTATTTTTTAATAAATTAACCCATGCAACTGATAGCTTAGTAGTGGATTTAGATACTAAACAAATACTAAAAAAAGCAGAAGGAAAGATGTGATTTAGCTCTTAGGTAGCAACAACTAGTTACATTCCTATTCATTTTCATTCAAAAAGATAATCTAGCAAGGTGCATGCAAATCATTTCCGCTGATCGATACCAATATGGTAATTGGTCATTGAAAAAAGAAAGCAATGTGCTCCTACCAGTGGGTGAAGGCTGACCCATAGAACGTGCAACTTGTCCCAATTTCTCTTTTATGCTCTGGAAAACAGAATTGTCATTTCTTTAGGTACTAAGGTATCAGAACTAAATTAGTTTTGCAAAAATCACCTTCTAAGAAACATTTAGATACAATAGTCAAAAGCAAATCAATTATAACAAATGACATGTGACTACCTCAAATTCCACATTGCTAACAGCCCTGTAAGGAAGGTCAAATTCATCCATGACTGCCCTCTGTGCACTCATAAGAAAAGTTTGTGATGAGTAAGAACCTAAATTGAAATACAAAAACAATATAGTATGGGCAGATTTTACCTGAGCTTCAGCATTCAGAAGACGAAAACGGTATCGAAAGAGTGCAGATTCCATAGAAAGAAACCATTTCCTCAGGTCCTCCCTGGGAAAACAGGCATTATGAATTTTAGTATATATGGAATAATTTAGAAACATAATTAGGTTTTCTTATGACTTTACTAATCCGAATTTTTTCCTTGCTTTGGTCCAGGCCAAGCATCATTCAGGATTAATGCATAAGTACAAAATCTGATCAATGCATGTAATTGGTGTCACTGGTCTTAAACTCTCAATATCATCATTACCAAATTATTCAATTTTAGTAATCTTCCATTTATTTTGATCAGGCTTTATTTGTCAAACAACTGAGGACTCTTTTCAAAGGCAAGGAACAACAGTAAAATAGTAAGGCATAAGAGAGAGAGAGAGAGAGAGGGAGAGCTCTTACGTTCTGCAATACACCAAACGCAGAACAAAATGAGATATAATATCCTTGTTTAGAACCTCAGATGCGTGTTGGTGTCTCATATTCACTTTCCACAGATCCTTTACCTGTACAAAAAAGGTTCACATAGAAACAACCCATCAAGCAGTGAAAAACTAACAAATCAACATCATCAGATCCAGCATTTTACCAAATTTTCCATTTCGTCAGGTTTCTTTCCCCGTGACAAACCATCAGAAATCCCCTTGAGAACTGCAACAAAAAATTAATATCCATAAAAAACGAACTACAAAACTTGAAAAATGCGAAGAAACGCATGCAAACACACACAATTTCGCGACTAATACATTATAAAAACGCAAATCACTAGCAGATTTCAGGCTTCACTTGAATAATACACTCGTTTCTTGAATCCAACATATATACAGGGAGCAGCGGACAAGCATAGAAGATTATCCAAAACCCTAAGCACGAAGACAGAGGGAATATGAAGCAGATCTCTTGAATTGGAAGAAGCAGAAGACAATGAAAGCATAAAGACGAAGAAATTGGACCTCGGAGGCGGTCGATGGCGAAGGACTCGAAATCCTCAAGCCTGACTTCGAGCGCCGGGGCGGAGCGATAGAGGGGAATGGTGGGAACCGAAACGGCGTCGTTGGAGGAGGACAAGAAGTTACTGCGATTCTGAGAACGAAAAATTTCCATAGTTTTCTTTCTTCTCTCAGCGACAGTCACAAGCGGCGAGGGTGTCGAGTGAGCGTTGGAATTGCTTCACGGTTCCGAATCCGCCCCAAATAATTTGATCCTAGACCAAAATTGGCGGGAAACGTTTTTTCTAGGCTAATTTGCTAGTTTTTAAATTAAAATATATATACATAAATTATATTGAAATTTGTTAAAGAATACCTTTTTTTACTTTTAACTCTTAATTACTGAATATTTTAGGTATTTTACATTCGAACAGCTTTCTTTTTAGGTGTTTTTTTTTTTGACAGAAGTGATTTTATAGATTTTTATAATTTCTTAACTAATTCACTACAAGAAAATGACGATTTTGTGACGGTTATATGGCCTACATTGCGACGGTTAGAACTGCCGCAAAGACAACATTGCGACGGTTTGGGAACCGTCGCAGAATTGTCCGTCACCAGGCAATTTTGCGACGGTTATCAGAACCGTTGCACAAACCGTCGCAAACTTGGAATTGCGACCCTTTCATCAACTGTCGCGGAGTAGTACTGGGATGAGTGACCTTCTGGGAAGTCTCCCAAAAATTGCACAAGCAAGAATAAAACACGCTAAACAGTGAAATATTGTGAAATAGAACTCTTGAGAGACCAAATATGAGAGTTGTTACATTAATAAATTTATTAAAATTAAAAAATTATAATTTCCGATGGATTTTTCCGTCGGAAAATTTGATAGCAATTTCCGACGGATTTTTCTCTGGAAATTTTGACAGCAATTTTCGATGGATTTTTCTGTCAGAAATTTCCGACGGAATTTTTTGTCGAAAAATTTCGTCAAAAAAATTATTTCTGACGGATTTTTTTTTCCGACGCCACTTTTTCTGACGGATTGAAATCCGTCGAAAATCCGTTGAAAAAAGCAAAATTCGTCAAAAAATTACCTATTTTCGTAAAAAATTTCCGTCGGAAATCAGCATTTTTCTTGTAGTGATTGGATATGTGAAAGAGAATCCAACCAAGCCAAAATTTAAAAGCAAAAACAAGTTACTTGTATTCTACTTCATTCCCATAATTTTGTTTTGTTTTCCTTTTCACTTTCAGCCTATGGAGCACATGCATGCCATTACTGTCAATGTAGTGTTGCAGCAAAGACATGGCTAACCATGATTCTCCCTGCCTGAGCTGTGTGGTTCCAAAATCAATATACTGAAAAATGGGGGGAAAAAAGTAAAAATAGCTGGAGATACTAAGCACCACGGCAACCGACAACAAAGAAAAAGCAAAAAAATAAAAATAAAAAAGACACAGAGAATCAATTCTGACAAATCACCTGTGGTTCTTGACTTGTAGCCCAATAAACGACATGCGCTTTACTCCGCGAAACACACGCCACTCTCCAAGCGCGTGGAACCACGCTTCACGTTTCACAAAATGCACACGTGGCGCAAGCAGAAAGAAAGTGACAAGTGACAAGGCTGTCGCAGTATCTTAATTTTCATGCTCTAAAAAAGCGTAGTAACAGAGGTACCCAGATTCCAGAAAAGAAACAAAACGCGCAGAACAATGGAATAGTACCAAAAAGTTTCAAACTTGGGAGAGAAAACATGAAGAAGAAGCAGATTGGTGGTTGGACTTGGTTGGTACATACATGTAACATGTCCATGGCAAAAGTGGAAGCAATTCAGCCACCTTCTTACTACGTGTTACTGCTTCAAATCATGAGCAAAAGAAGAACATGGGTGTGTGTTTTCGTGCTAGTGTACGGCTTGCTCTTCACATGTTCGTGGAATTTCCTCAAGTCCATGATTTCGTGGTACGAGTTGCAAGCTAAGTCATCAGCTTCATGGTGGCCAGCACTCTATGCCTCGGTGGTTCTTGGCGCGGTTTTCGGGCTGCTTTCGATGGTTGCGGCTCTTGCTGTGGTGGTTCCGGTGGTTGTGGTGACGTGGATCGCCATCGTGGTGCTGCTGGCTTTCTTTGGTAAGCCTAAGAAGACTTTGGTTGTGGAGGGGAGGAAGATTACGAGGGAAATTTTCGGTTTTGTGATGAGGGTTTTGTTGAAGGAAGGGAACATTGTGGCTGCTGTTTGTGCTGTTTTGGGGTATTTTGCTCTTGGGAGAACGAGTGGTAAAGGTGATGTGTGAGTTTGGTTGCTGATTCTGATCAAGGGGTTGGTTAGTTTGTAGGCTTTGGGTAGGTGTGGTGGTTGTGGTCATTTGGTAAACTGTCTTAGATTAGATCTCTTTTTTAGATTAGGTAGCTGAACTTGTTACCCTTTAGCTGCTCAAAGATCTTCAAGTTTTAGGGTAATCTCTCATGAATAATTAATTTTACAACTTCTTTTGTCTTTTTGTCTTGTCTCAGATTAAACACAATTCTAAACCACTAATGCCGCGAAGTCATGAGAATTTGAAGTTGAAGTAATATGAATAAGTTTTAAGTGTCACATTATAATTTTTATGTTTGAATTATATTATTGTTGTATGGATAAAAAAGAATAACCTGTGTTTCTTTAAGAATGTTGGTCTTGTTTGTGAGGCAACTGATTTTAGCAAATTGTTATAAAAAAAGTTTGTAAATTTGAAGATTTGAGATATATGTAAAATAAAGGGAAATTGGTGAGTTGCACGAAGTTTAATCTATTGATATATCAATCTTCAAAAGTTAAATCAATCTAAGCTGAAGTTGCATTGAATGAAGGATAAAGCATTCAGATATAGTTCCCAAGTTATTTGCAGGATTCAGCTCACTGAAAATTGGGTCAATGTTTGTTTTGAAAGATGTCTAGCACTAAATTATTTTCTCACAATTAAATGACAACCTTTAGGAAAATGGAATCCACTAATGTTCTTTGTAAAAGGATGAACTTGTTTAATATTCCTCCGGGACATAAAATCTTGTTTGAACTTTGAAGGGTCAAGACATCCATCACGGGAAATTTGGAGAGATAGTACAGAAAATAAAATAAAAGGCATTTATAATAACATGAAAATTGAAATTGGACATTTTGTGGTGCATTTCCAACCGACCAGATTGCAAATTTTCTTTTGATTTGATTATTCTGTAAGCAAGACAGACCCGCAACAAAAACTCGTATCTAGAAGGAATAAATATCTGTGCAGAATTTTTATTTGACAAAAAGTCAACCAAATAAAAATATGGATATTTTCACAAGTAGTTGAATTATTTTTTAAAACAGTGAAGGGAGGTACCTTACAAGGACAATGGCACGAGCACGAGTGTATTGGAAACATGTGCCCTGTGTTATATATACAGAAACTAATCACCAATATATTGTTAATATTAAAATTTATTTATACTGATAACTAATTATATTTTTAATTATATTATATTATTAATAAAAATAAATTTATTTATAATGACATAACATAATTAAAGAATATAATTAATTATTAGTGTAAAAAATTTTACAACAGTATATAGATAATTTTCTCTATATATATTGTCGTAGGTTAACCCTAACATATGCTGCACCTGCTTCCTGTGTCCTTTGATATTTGATAATACCTTGGTGTTTGTGAAAAGTGAAAAGACTAATTTTTTTAAAAAAAGTGAAAAGACTAATATTGGTATATTTGATTCGAGATTAAACATATTCATAATCAATTCTATTAGATTCAAAATCGCATGTTTGGTGATGATTATGAAAATTGATTTTAAGGTGTAAAAATTCAAATTCACTTAAAAGTAAATATTAATAATTTTTCCATCAAATAAAATCATGAAATTTTATTTATTTAAACTTATCATTATATATTTACAATTAATTTTGATAATAAAATTTTAAATAATATTTAATATAAAAATAAAAATTTATATTTATTATCATCTAAACAAAAATCATATTAATTTAAATTTAAATTTATTTAAAACTAATTTTAGCAATTTATATTATTTTAAATCAATTATATCAACATATATTTCGAAACACGATAATATAAATTAATATTATATTGATATATAGTTAAATAATCGGTTTTTATTTTGGAAAGTTCAATTATTTTCCTAATGATAAATTAGATTCCCACTTAGGATACAAACCACAAAATATATAGTAAAACATTAAAACACATACAATTACATGTGAAACGCAACATAGTAATATATATATATTTATTTATTGAAAATGAGTTCTGTTTGGATTGGTTAAATTTTGCACTGACCGAAAATTCAATTAAACCTGTTGTTTATGCCAAAAAAAATTCCAAAAAGTTTATTATTCACCATGTTTCAAATTTTTGGATCAGTTTATGATTTCTTTTATCGGATTGGAAGTGAATAAACCTGCATGTGTCTATGTGCTTATTTGGTGATGGTTAAACCGTTTCCCCATATTATTATGAATCATGTTTGAGTGGTTACCGAACACATTGAAGTAGATTAAGTAGATTTTCATTCCATGTGAAATCGTATTTATTAAGTTGTTAATATTCTCATCCCTCAGCTTCCCACGTAATTGTAGCAAGCCAATATCTTTAATAAGACTCTAAAAAAAGTAACAATATCAATTCCTCCTTTCTGCAAGTTGGATATATATTCAAAATCTTCACATTTTTTTAAGATAAAAAAAAAATCAACTTAATGTGGTGTGTGGTTGATTGCAAGACATTTCAAACATTTGAGTTACGGAAAAGAAAAGAAAAAAAAAAGCAAAGAAAAAGAAGAGCATTGAAGAGGCACTCTTAACTCATAAGAAATAACACATTGTGGTCAAGACAAGCCAATCCCTTGAATATGACTATTGTTTTTCGAGTTTGGTTATTATTTGACTTTCTTATATATAATACATTTATCATCAATTACGTGCCATGAGAAAATTTACTAACTCTACACTTAAATACCACACACACACACACACAAAAAAAGATTTATTCTCACCTATGTGAAAATTTATTCTTATTTACTTATAAATTAGGATTTCCACAAATATTTTTATTCTTGTTGAGAGGGGTTCTCAATCAATGCTAAAAAGCTAACCATCATATACTCGAAATACCGCAGCATAAGTGTGATTGGAAAATATAATCATGCATAATAAGTACATGCACCAACCATATATATCATCACAGTGAACTGAAGCTTGATTATTCTATATGAACATGATTATTTTTCTAGCTTAAATAAATGTATAAAAAGAAAAAAAAAATAATCATTCTTATTTTAGTCAATGCAAAATGATTTGTCTTTTTGACTGAAAAGACATTAACCAATTCCATATAATTATAGAGCATAAAAAATTGCTTCAGCTGAGTAATCTAATCTGATGGCATAAGTGGTAGAGTGATACCCAGCATTCAACCTCAAACTGAAAAACACCCTTACATGTATAATAAATTGTACCTAAACAAGTGACATAGATTGAGAATGACATCCCTGGCTTCTCATACAAGCCCCGGCCCCTTTAAAATAATAATTTTGATGTTTAAATATATTTTTTATTTTGTAAAATAATAAATTTGGATATTTGTTAAAAAAAATATTATTTTTATTCTTCTAAAATTTGGAATAACTGTTTTGTATCCTTGGTATTATGTAATTATTTGTATGTTTATGAGAATGTTCTTAGATAACACCCATTAGTTCAGCTTTTATAATTATTGCAAACTAATCATGATTGCAAAATGATTAAAACGAAGATTGATATTAATTATATAGTTTAAATATATTTTTAGTTCTTTAAATTTAAGATAAATTTATTTTTTATTCTTTAAATTTAAAATTGTTATTTTTAGTTCCTGTAATTTTTAAAAATCTTGTTTTAGTCTTTTAGGTCACTAATAATATATTTAAAAGTGACTAATTAAAACACTTATGTAATATCAACCGGATTTAGTATGATATTTTTACTAATAGGGACACCAATAGGTAAATTTTATATAATAATATTTGATAAATTTTTTAACAAAATTTAAATATAAGGACTAAAATAAGATTTTTTGAAATTATAGGGACTAAAAATAACAATTTTAAATTTGAAAGACCAAAAATAGATTTATCCTAAATTTGAGAGACTAAAAACATATTTAAACCTAGTTATATTATAGTGGGACTTTTGTTTTTATTTATTTATTTATTATGTTACTTGCTAACTTGTATTGGTAACTATTACACCTTTATTATTAGTTTGGTACACGCTAATAACTTGAAGAAATTAATCCAAGTCAATAAAGATAGTGATGGAGGACCATGTTTAGAACGATTGGCTAGGTTTGGTCTCACGTGGTATGGTTTACTAAGATAACTATTGGGTTTCTCAGACATTTCCGATAGAAGTAACTTATTTGAGTTGCTTCATGCATTAGAAAATAAAAAAAATATGATATCTAGTGTGCTATGTCAGCATTAAGCAACTCAAACAGAAATTTACTCTAAGAAATTTTAAGAAATTCAATTTCTAGAATTTTTTTCAAATCATTTACGAATCAAATTAAATTTTTTATTAAAAAAGACAATTGCACTACAATAAAAGAAAATAAATTATGAGAAAAAATATACAATAAATAGATATTAAAAATAAAATAAAGCAATAATAAATATATAAACATTATACGAAATTAATTTTCATAATTATACTCTTAGGTTATTTTATTTATTTATTTTTAATTTTTTAATTTTTAATTTTTAATTTCTTTCTTATTTCTTTAACCCAACGTCTCTTTTTCTTCTTCTTGAGAGTTTTTTTCCTTTTTCTTCACGCTTTCTTTTCTTCAACTCCTCCTTCAAACTCTTTCTGCCGTCACCGTCACCGCTTCCGCTGCGCGCGCCAAGTCCAGGCAGAACGTCTACCCGCTCGCAAAGCTCAGGAACGTCCACCCGTGGCAGAACGTCCACCCGCAGCCTCCGCCATCCAACCCCGCGCCTCCACCATCCAACCACCGCCTCATCACCGCGCCTCCTTCCGTTTACAACGGTAAGGAACGGTTGCTTCACTAAACAACTCTCTCTCTTCTGCAAGAAACCCGTGTTGTCACGTCACACCCCTCCAATGGTAAGAAACTAAGGTTGGAGTCGCTTGATGGGACAAGCAACTCTCATTGAAGTTGCTCTCACTTTCTCCGACATTATGCACTCATTTCTTTTATCAATTGTTATAAAACCCCGTCTATTTTTTAGTTAAAATATTTTTAATTATGCTTTTTTATATAATATATTTTTCACAATACATTAATAATATCTTTCTTATTTCTTTATTACACCAATTATTTTATTTCATTTTTCTTCAATTTTTCTTTATTGTTCAAATATGTAATCCAAATACAAAATTTCTTGTTTAGTTCATGAGAGAAAACATATTGGCGAAGATTTAGAAACATATTGATGAAGATTTAAAGACAGAACTCTATTCCTTGCAATCGAAAACAAATTCATACATGATTAGTAGGACAATTTGGTAATTAAAGCTTTTAAAGTAGCTTATATATTAAGCTACTAAATGGGTTTGATTAGAAAGATTTTTTTTTTTTTTGAAAAACTATTATATGGTTTAAAAGTTAATAAGTTATTAGAATATATATATATATATATATATGACATATAAGTTAAGACTATGTTTTTATTTTTTATTTCATCCCTATTAATTTTGTAAAAAAAATTTTAACCTCCAAATGAGTATAATGTTTTGTTTCCAATAACTTTTTAACTCTAAATTTCTTTTAAATTTTAGCTAATTTTTAAACTTTTTTTTTTCAAATAGTTACACTAAATATAGTTATGCTTAAAAAAATCACAACTAATCCTTCACATCAATTAATTTTTTTATATTATTTCTTTGTTTTTCTGTAGAAACAGATATGCATTTGAATAAAAAATGATTTTTTGGTTTTAGGTACACAATCATAATTTCTAGCACAGAATACTGATCAAATATTTAAATAAGTGGTTCAAAAACATTTCAGCAATATATATACTCCAAAACTTTCAACAAATTATTCATGTATCTATCCATGAAAGCTTTTTATGTACACTTTTCTTCATACTTGTCTTTTCCTTATAGGTAATACACTGTTCAAATTGAACCTTAACAATTATTTAAAAAAGGGAATACTGCAGCAAATTCATTCTATTTTTCTTGTAACTTTAAAAAGATAAATATGATTTAGATATGCTGACCTCATCAACACCGAATATTAAAAAATACATGTTAATTTTATTAATATAAAGTACAAAGTATCCATAATGGTAATGACATATTTTGATTGGTATTAAGTTTTCAACTGCATATCTAACAAAAATATTGCATTTAATTACCACAGTACAATATTATAAGAAAAACACAATTTTATAAATATATTGAATGTAAACTTTTAGAAAATGACATAAAGCACAAAGGAAATGAATAATAATAATAATAATAATAACATCATGGTTATATATTTTATTTATTTATAAAATTACTAAAAATTAAAATGAATAAAATTATTCAAACACAACTACAAAAGAATTAGATTTATAAAATTATAAGTTAATAGAATATTAACGTTAAAATAATTAAAGAAAAATGTCACCTCTATAAATAAATTAAAACAATTATCTTGAACCAAAATATTTTTAAGAGTCATTGTTTAACGAAAATAGTTTTATTGAACAATAGTGTTTTATAAAAATTTTCCTTAACTTTTGATTTATTATTTTTATTTTTAAATTAAATTTTAATATTTTTAAAATAATTATGAACCGTTAAAAATAATCTTATATAACATAATCTTTTTTAATAAATTTCAAATATAATTTATATATTAAAAATTATTTATTAAATTTTTAATTATAATATAATTTATATAATTAAAATTATT